ATCTGTCTTTACCTCCTATAAGGAGTGTTCAGAGGAGCATACTGTCTTTACCTCCTATAAGAAGTGTTCAGATGAGCATACTGTCTTTACCTCCTATAAGAAGTGTTCAGATGAGCATACTGTCTTTACCTCCTATAAGGAGTGTTCAGAGGAGCATACTGTCTTTACCTCCTATAAGGAGTGTTCAGAGGAGCATACTGTCTTTACCTCCTATAAGAAGTGTTCAGATGAGCATACTGTCTTTACCTCCTATAAGAAAAGCAGAGGAGCATACTGTCTTTACCTCCTGTAAGAAGAGCAGAGGAGCATACTGTCTTTACCTCCTATAAGGAGTGTTCAGAGGAGCATACTGTCTTTACCTCCTATAAGAAGTGTTCAGATGAGCATACTGTCTTTACCTCCTATAAGGAGTGTTCAGAGGAGCATACTGTCTTTACCTCCTATAAGAAGAGCAGAGGAGCATACTGTCTTTACCTCCTATAAGAAGAGCAGAGGAGCATACTGTCTTTACCTCCTATAAGAAGAGCAGAGGAGCATACTGTCTTTACCTCCTATAAGAAGAGCAGAGGAGCATACTGTCTTTACCTCCTATAAGAAGAGCAGAGGAGCATACTGTCTTTACCTCCTATAAGGAGAGTTCAGAGGAGCATACTGTCTTTACCTCCTATAAGAAGAGCAGAGGAGCATACTGTCTTTACCTCCTATAAGAAGTGTTCAGAGGAGCATACTGTCTTTACCTCCTATAAGAAGAGCAGAGGAGCATACTGTCTTTACCTCCTGTAAGAAGTGTTCAGAGGAGCATACTGTCTTTACCTCCTATAAGAAGAGCAGAGGAGCATACTGTCTTTACCTCCTATAAGGAGTGTTCAGATGAGCATACTGTCTTTACCTCCTATAAGGAGTGTTCAGATGAGCATACTGTCTTTACCTCCTGTAAGGAGAACTTGAGGAGCATACTGTTTTTACCTCCCATAATAAGAAAAAAAATTCATTTGGAAAAATAAACCCACCTTTAACAATTGAAATTCAACTCTTAAAAATTTATCAATTGCACTAATGAATATAAGCTTTGACATGTTCCTTATCCATAAGTAATCCTTATTTCAAAAACCATCTAAAAAAATTGACAGAACTTTTCAAAATATTTATCAAACTTGACCTGATAACTGGCACTTAAAAAACTTGAAACTTCCAAGCCTCACTTATTACTTAAAGTTCAAATTTGTTAAAATTCAAACAAGATGATGTTAAAATTCAATAAAAACACTCCTAAATTCTTTGAAACATTGTGAAAATTGTATAATTTACCTCCAGTTAACTGAGAGTAAGTGGTTTATGATGGTCTTTGGTTGTGTTAATATTGAGAGAGGCTAGTGTGTGCTTTAAGCCAGTAGATATACACGGCACTACCTGATAGTTATATACCTTTCTTACTTTAGTTTTAATGAAGTTATAGACTTTTAGTTTTAGTGTTAACTTTCAAAAAGATATACTGTCTTGTTCTTTGGTTTATTGTGCGACTTTTAACCAGGTTTATCACCTTGGCTTTAGTTTTGGAGTGTCCACATAGTAAATATAGTTTACTTGTTTCACCACTTTCTGACTTTAGTTATAATAAAGTTTTAGTCTTTTAGTTTTAGTTTAAAATTATGCTATCTTGTAGTACAGCACTTTTGCTAAATTCTGCCACACTGCGACATAGGATAATCAACACATGATCCATTTCTGAGAGTCCACATAACTTATAAAGTTTAGTTGGTTCACCACTTTCTAACTTTAGTTGTATAGTTGTTTAATTTTCAAAAGGTAACACTTTCTTGTGCATTACTCTTTGCCTTCTTGAATACCTGATGCCAATTTTCAACTGGGTTTGTCAATTTGGCATCGCTTTCAAAGGGTCCACATAGCTAATTGTTATTTTGTGGCAAATTTTTTGCTACCTTGTCAACACTTGAGAATGACGAGGGGAATCGTGTCGAACAGTCATGTGAAATAAATAAATATATTAAAGGTTAACTCTGCTTTTAGAGTAGTGTATAGTTATTTCAAAATATTTACCAAGTAAATCGGCAAAAACTTCAACTTTAAAGGGATTGCGAAAAATTTTCAAAATATTGTATGTGTATTACAGACACTGATAGCATCAATTTTCACCATTCCAATTTTAGTTATTTCAAAATATTTACCAAGTAAATCGACAAAAACTTCAACTGTAAAGGGATTGCAAAAAGTTTTCTAAATGTTGTATGTGTATTAGAGACACTGAAAGCATCAATTTGCACCAATCCAATTTTCAATCAGACGTCTGTGCTTAATGCAATTGATGTAGTCACTAATTGAAAAATATGCTTCATTACATAAGGCCCTTCGCCTTTAAGTAATATTTGTACCAATATAGGAACATAGACGGAATTGTAAAGACGACTCTTTGATAGAAGTGGAATGTTTTCATACTTACAGTCTCGCAGACAAATATTCGAAGGCAAGCAGACGGAATCTCATTCTGATAATTCACTATACAAATATTGGTCCGGGAAATATTTTATTTAAGCGTTCTGTAACTAATCGCGAAGTTTTTGCCGATAACTCGATTTGATGTCTGTTTCTTTTCATATGAGTTTTTCATTTCTTAATCGCGATGTATTTTTATGATAGCCAATTTGTTAGTTTTGGTCGACCAGTCTGTTATGAACAAGTCACCTTGGTAACCAATATTTTTCACTATTGGTTAAATTTCCAAAGGTTCACAAAATTATGTCAAGGGTCATTTGTGCTCATCTTATGTTTCACTAAATAAATGATCACATGTAAAGTATTCCAAATATGAAACACATTTAAGTCAGTAACTTTGGTATTTTCTAACTATGGTAACATCCTTATAAAACTCTAGAGCTCTAGTCAGAGATGACTGGTAACATCCTTATAACACTCTAGAGCTCTAGTCAGAGATGACTGGTAACATCCTTATAACACTCTAGAGCTCTAGTCAGAGATGACTGGTAACATCCTTATAACACTCTAGAGCTCTAGTCAGAGATGACTGGTAACATCCTTATAACACTCTAGAGCTCTAGTCAGACATGACTGGTAAATATACAATTAAATCAACAGTCTAGAGCTCTAGTCAGAGATGACTGGTAACATCCTTATAACACTCTAGAGCTCTAGTCAGACATGACTGGTAAATATACAATTAAATCAACAGTCTAGAGCTCTAGTCAGAGATGACTGGTAACATCCTTATAACACTCTAGAGCTCTAGTCAGACATGACTGGTAAATATACAATTAAATCAACAGTCTAGAGCTCTAGTCAGACATGACTGGTAAATATACAATTAAATCAACAGTCTAGAGCTCTAGTCAGACATGACTGGTAAATATACAATTAAATCAACAGTCTAGAGCTCTAGTCAGACAGGACTGGTAAATATACAATTAAATCAACACTCTAGAGCTCTAGTCAGACATGACTGGTAAATATACAATTTAATCAACAGTCTAGAGCTCTAGTCAGACATGACTGGTAAATATACAATTAAATCAACAGTCTAGAGCTCTAGTCAGACATGACTGGTAAACTCTATTAACTCTAGGGGCTGCAGTATTGGTCTCATAATAACATGATATAATACTGAAATGACTGGTAAGCATCCGCTATCAAGTACAGATAGGAAAGATAGACGAGTTATTTTTTTCCATCTTATTTTTGCCTCACAGCACCAGATAATGAAAAATGTCTTGGAATGAAGTCTTGAAGACTTCCAGGAATGAATGCCATGTTCACAGCAGGTCCCAAGTCAATGTAAAATATATATATGTCAGCTCTCATTATAACTTTCATTCATTTCAGGGCTTCGGCAAAATCTGGTGCTAAAATTATCTTCTTTGGTGTCTTACCTAAAACTCATCTTGGTGGTCATGTTGAATTATAGACTAGATCATTCAAACCTGTCATCTTATTTTTTTTTACAATTTTCAATATTTTGGCAATGGTTGCACATAAGTGGAGATTAGAAAACAAGTTCTATTCTACAGAAGGCACTGGCACAGGCATAGTTTTGAGTAATCTATACAAATTCTTTATTATG